CTCAGGGGTTTTGGGGGGGGGTCCCGGGTTTGGGGGTGCCCCCCAGGGTGCTGACCCCTCCCCCTCAGGCAGGGGGGCTACGGCGAGCGCTTCCCGTCGGCCTCGTACCGCGACAACTACGACAACTGAGGTAGGGACCCCCAAAAGGGGCACCCCCAAACGGTTTGGGGGGGTCACAGGGGTTTTGGGGGGGGGTCCCGGGTTTGGGGGTGCCCCCCAGGGTGCTGACCCCTCCCCCTCAGGCAGGGGGGCTACGGCGAGCGCTTCCCGTCGGCCTCGTACCGCGACAACTACGACAACTGAGGTAGGGACCCCCAAAAGGGGCACCCCCAAACCGGGGGGACCCCCAAACCCTGGGGGCACCCCCAAACCCTGGGGGCACCCCCAAACCGGGCACCCCCAAACCTGGGAGACCCCCAAACCCTGGGGGCACCCCCCCCAAACCCTGGGGGCACCCCCAAACCGGGCACCCCCAAACCTGGGAGACCGCCAAACCCTGGGGGCACCCCCAAACTGGGCACCCCCAAACCTGGGAGACCCCCAAACGGGGCACCCCCAAACCGGGGGGACCCCCAAACCCCAGGGGACCCCCAAAAGGGGCACCCCCAAACCTGGGAGACCCCCCCAAACCCCGGGGGACCCCCAGATTTCAGGGGATCCCCAGATGGGGCACCCCCAAACCAGGGGAGACCCCAAAATGATCCGGGGAACCCCTAAACCTGATCTGGGGCACCCCCAAACTAGGGGGACCCCCAAACCCCAGGGGGGACCCCCAAACTTGGGAGACCCCAGAAATGACCCGGGGCACTCCTAAAACTGAGGGGGGCTCCCCAAAACCAGGGGAGACCCCAAAATGCCCCGGGGCACCCCGAAACTGATCTGGGGCACCCCCAAAGCTCGGGACACCCCAGAACTGACCAGGGGCACCCCTAAAACTGATCTGGGGCACCCCCAAACTGGGGGTACCTCCAAACCTGGAGGCACCCCTAAAATTGATCCGGGGCACTCCTAAAACTGAGGGGGGCTCCCCAAAACCAGGGGAGACCCCAAAATGCCCCGGGGCACCCCGAAACTGATCTGGGGCACCCCCAAAGCTCGGGACACCCCAGAACTGACCAGGGGCACCCCTAAAACTGATCTGGGGCACCCCCAAACTGGGGGTACCTCCAAACCTGGAGGCACCCCTAAAATTGATCCGGGGCACTCCTAAAACTGAGGGGGGCTCCCCAAAACCAGGGGAGACCCCAAAATGCCCCGGGGCACCCCGAAACTGATCTGGGGCACCCCCAAAGCTTGGGACACCCCAGAACTGACATGGGGCACCCCTAAAACTGATGTGGGGCACCCCCAAAATCAGGGGGTGCCCCAAAACCAGGGGGGACCCCAGAACTGATAGGGACACCCTAAAAACTGATTGAGGCACCCCAAAATGTCCAGGGGCACCCAAAACTTGATGGGGGACCCCAAAATGAGCGGGGGGCTCTGGAATTGATGGAGCGCCCCAAAAGTGATTGGGGTGCCCCAAAATGTCTGGGGCACCCCAAAAATGACCCAGGGGCACCCCAAAACTGATCAGGACACCCTAAATTGTCCATGGGCACCCCAAAAGTGAGTGGGGGCACCCGGAAATGATAAAAGGGGTACCCCAAAAGTTTGGGATACATCAAAAGTGACAGGGACACCCCAGAAGTGACCAGGGACACCCCAAAATCGATCAGGGACACCCCAAAAATGACCAGGGACACCCCAGAAGTGACAGGGACACCCCAAAAATGACAGGGACACCCCAGAAGTGACCAGGGACACCCCAAAAATGACAGGGACACCCCAAAAATGACAGGGACACCCCAGAAGTGACCAGGGACCCCCCAAAAATGACAGGGACCCCCCCACATTCCCTGTGGACCCCCCCCCCGAGCGTTTTTGGGGTTCGCACAATTCCCTGAGCTCCCGCAAATGGAATTTGGGGGATTTTTGGGGGATTTTCGAGCCCCCCCCCACAGGTCCATTTTGGGGAGGTTTTTGGGTCTCCCCAATAATTTTGGGGTGCCCTCCCCCCCGGGTTTTAAAGGGTCTGGGGGTTCTCAAAGCCCCAAAATTCCCGTTTTGATCAGGGATTTGGGGTTTTTTGGGGTTTTTTTTGGGGGGTTTTTTTGGGTTTTCTGTGCATGACAGGATTCTCCATTTTGGGGTGACCTTTGACCCCTCCCCCAATTTATTTTTGGGGGGGTCCCGACCCTTCCAAAGCCTCGTTTGGGGGGGTCCAGGACGCCCCCAGATGAATTTTTTTGGGGTGGATATTTTTGGGTTCCCCTATTTTGGGGGGGTCCCAGAATTGCCCATCCCCCATTTTTGGGGCGGGGGTGGGGGAGGGGTCCCCCCCCCAGCGCCCCTCCCCCACTGATCTCCTTCTCGTCCTCAGCTCGGAGCCTCGTGCTGGATTTTGGGGGGGCCCCTCCCCCCCCCGGGCCGCGGATGGACGCCGGACATGGGGGGGGTCAGGAGAGGGTAAAGGACACGGGGACAGGGTGGGTGACACCAGGACACCACGGGGACACCACGGGGACACGAGGCCGCCGCCGCCATTGTTACCAAATTTTTTTATTCCCACGCGAGGGTCCAGTACAAAATTGGGGGTGGGGTTTGTAAATGCGGGTGTGGCCCTTTAAGTGGGGCCGGAGGGCGTGGTCTCTAAAAGGGGGCGTGGTCTGTGGGCGTTAGTAGCGGGAGGGGTAAATGTGAGTGACAGCCAAAGGGGCGGGGCTTCAGCTGAGGGCCCAGCCCCCAGGAGCCTCCTGATTGGGTGAGGCGAGAAATGGGCGTGGCTTCGCGGAGGGACGGGGCTTTCTGCGGCTTCTTCAAAGGGCCACGCCCAGGTGGGGCCCGACGCCAGCGCCTTAAAGGGGCCACACATCGAGGGGCCACGCCCCCGTCCAACGAACCACGCCCGGCCGAGCCCCTTTAAGAGAGGGGGCCCACACGGGGCGCCTTAAAGGGGCAACACCCCTTAAAGGCGCGGGGCGTACATTAAAAGCACGCGCCTGCTTTAAGACTCTTCAAACGGCGCCCGGTGGGGCCCACCCAGAACAGCTCAGGGAGGGCGGGGGGGGTCCCGAAAAATGGGGAGGGGTCCCTAAAAATCCCCCCCAGGGCGGCCTCAGGGCTCGTCCTCCATGCTGAGGCTGCTGCGGGGGCTGGAGGCCCGCGAGGGGCCCGGCGAGGCCAGGAGGGCGCCGGGGGGGCCGAGCGGGGACAGCCCCCCGCCATCGTCCATCAGGATGTCCTCGAGGGTCCCCTCGGGTCCCCCCAGCGCCAGGGGCAGCGCCAGCCCCGGGGGGAGCTCCAGCAGGCACTGGGGGGTGGGGGGACCCCCGGGGGG